AACTTAACTAAAGCCCCTATATCGTGATGGATATAATTGTAGTGTTTTTTCCTTAGTATATTTAATTATGAAGATAAAAACCTACTGGATTATTCTAGGGTCAACTGTATACATTTATGTATCATTGCAGAAGAAAGGGTGCCCAACCAGGAATCAGAAGACAGGGTTGGAATCTGGCCCTTCTCCGCCCTAGTTCATGGCCACAGACAGTACGTTCATCTGGGCTGTAAGCTCATTAGAGCTGTAAGCTTCTGTTTGCTCATCTGAAAGCTGGTGCCAAGGGGATGAACAAGTCCTATCTCAGAGGGTCGTCATGAGAACCAGATGACAATCTGGGTATATGTGCCTGGCTCACAGTCGGGGGGCTCGGTAAATGACAGCCAGAAGCAAGGGAGTGGGGACCTGTGTGCCACACAGGAGATTGGGAGGCGGATTCGATGGTAGTTTTAGGTGAAGAAATTGGACATGTCCATGTTCACGTCGTATGATTCATGTCTACCGTGCTGTTGCCGCTGCTGCCTTCCTGTAACCCATTTTAGAGCCTATCTTGGCAGCTGGAAGTATTTGGGATTAATTTCACACTCACTTTATGAGTTGAGCGTTTTCCTGCAAGCAGTTCCCTGGGCCTCTGCCTCATGACTTTGGCATCAACTGATATGGCAGTCGGACAGAGGTGTCCTTTGGGTCTCCATTTTATTTGGAAACCTTCAATTTGAAAGAGCAAAACAAAGACCATCAACACACTGTGCTTGAAATCGTTAGTGTTTATTGTTCCCTAAACCTCTCCCTTTCTGTAGTCTGTTGCGCACCTGGGAACACGCGTCTTGCACAGTCCGTGAGGTGCACTGAAATATCACTGTCCCTCACACTGGAGTCCTACAGCAGGTCAGCCCGCTTTCTCAGTTCCAGGTGAGCTGCAAAATCTCCTAGGCTGTGGTCCCATCTGCATCTTGATGGGTTTAGCTTTTCCAGCCCTTTTTATTATGTTAATTCTGCTAAATTCATCTGGCTCCAGTGGAGAACAAAGTAAACTTGGCTGTGACGTGTAAAACTAAATTGAGTACATGGGGATCTGTTTAGCATTTCATGCTGGCCAATAGGTCAGGCAGATTTTTCTTGGGGGTAATTTACATAAGGAATTGTTTACCCCTTTTCTTTCCAATTCCTGTGTCCATTTGAGGATAGCAGACTCTTTCCACAATGGCACAGAAACATATCCAGCGAGACTGAAACTCAGAGAGACGGTGCTTCTCCCAGATTGATGTATTTTGGGCCCTGCTCAGGAAAGATCCTGTGGCTTGGGTTGCTGTCTCACTGAGAAGTCATTCTTCCACCACAGCTGTGTTTAGCACGTTGGGTGGGTCCACCAAACGACATGCTGTTACACTTAGGGAGAATTTTCCCTTGATAGTGAGGAGCATGCATAAAAGCCTCACTTAAGACCCAGCGTTTACCCCAAATGTTTACTGTGACCCAATAGTTGCGTAGAGCATCACCTCCATCAGGTAATGCCCACACTTATTAGAATACTCCGTGGCTCCCCAGTACCTGCAGCATGAAGCGCATGTTCTTCACCTTGATGTTCTGGTACTCCTACTACCGTTGCTCAGGTTACCTTTTTTGTCTCATTATATGCTCTTCCCAGACTGAAATATTTGCTCTTCCCTGACAAGCAGCCTCTATTTTACTGCTTTTAATGCTTTTGTTCAAATTGTTTCCTTCACTTTTAAAGCCTCTTTCTCCAATATCTATTCATGGGGGTACATTTCAGAGACCTCTTCTCAGTGGTGTGCTGATAAATATTTAACAACTGGTTCCCTGGCGAGGAGTGGGTGGGTGGGAAGTGGGGCTTTGCGACATTAGTTCATTCACCTCCATGTTGCACATACGTCCACCGTGGCCAATAGCAAGCTATGAGCGTTGAGGTCCTAGAATGCAGAGCTGGGGGAAGAGACTGTTTCCAACATGAGGGGATAATGGACAGAAATAACCTCAGGGGACTCGGTGAAAATCAAATAGCTAGGAAGTAGTGGGTTTTGAGTATTTATCACCTTTGTTTTAATGTAATTTATTTAATTTTAAGTTTATGTAATGGCCGTGTTTAACAGCTAGCTCACCAAATTCCTAAACACGGAGCCATCAGTGTTGTCTCCTGAGCTGGGAGGGGTGGGCTGAGCCAACTCCAGCGCTGAGCTGTTTCTTCCTCCACCTTTTCCTTTCGAAGGCCCTCCACACTCAGTAGTTCATAGGCCCGTCTCTGTGAGGGGCTTCGGGTCTCATGCAGGCTTAGCAGGGAGACACTCCAAAGTCTGAACCCTGGTCGCTTCTTTACTAGGTTAGGTGACAGTCAAGCTGGCTACTTAATGTGCAGCTCCCAGTGCAAAAACAAAACGCAGGGCCCATGGTAAAGGGCGGGGAGAAAGTGCTGTGAAAGCAGCTGCTAAAATCTGAAGCCCTTTCCTTTCTTCAGTGCTCTCCCACACCTTCTGATTTTAGTTTTTATTTCCCGTTTAATGCTGTTCCCAGTAAGGACAAATGAAGATTTTAAGTTGTTCGTATGAATTTGCCCATTAATCTTGATGTTACGCAATGACAGTTTTAAATGCAAATATAAGCGCGTTGAACCCTAGGAGTCGTGAGTGGATCCCCTCTGCTCATGTACATGCTCTGTTATCACACAGACTTCACTTTACCAAACATGAGTTCAGAAATACAAGTGTTAAGAATTTCAAGACAGAGGCAGCAGGGCATTGAACCAGGCATGGACCCCATCTGAGCGCGGACACAGTTTGCACGCCCTGTGTAAAGCACCAAACAAATTCCTTATGTCTGCTGGGCCTCAGAGGTGTCCCTTGTAAAACAGAGATCGCGCCGGCAAAGTCACAGCGGAGGTGTGATGACTGAAGGCACTAATTCCTGTATGGCATAGAGCAGGCGGCTTGGCGCGCAGTCTGTGCTCGCTTCATTGGGTGGGTTATTATTAACGACAATCGTAATGTTCATGGCATTCTCCTTTAGAGTCTATAGGGTCTCCCCTGCATTGTCAACATTTGCCTCCTTGATCTGTTTTCCTTTCTCCATTATAAACCCTTTGAAGATGGAGATGAGATCTGTCACCATTGAGTTCCCCGGAGTGCTTCCTGCAAATTCTTGCACACACCTGGCTCTCAGGAGGTGTTTATGACCTTGATCTTTGCATGATTTAGACTTAGTGACAATAAGCATCTGTACCATAATATGATGACCCCCACAACGAGGCTTAATTGGTAACAGTCACAGGAAGAAAAAAATTATAAACTTAGACTTGAACAGGAGTCGGTTGTAATCATGGCAAAGATTGGGTTGATGCAGATGATTCCAGGTGTTTTGATTTAAGGAAAGTGGCCTCTCGCTGTCTCACCGAGGGGCCTTCTTGAAGCAATAGCGAAGGGATGAGTTCCACCCCTCACCTGAGTAAGAGGCCCCAGGGGTGTTAACTCTGGCCCATAATAATCTGTCCTTTCGCTAACTTCTTTCATGCTCACTTTCTCTTCTGTGTAATTCGGACGTTATTACAGGATGTTTCTTTCTACTAGTTGGTTGTGTATGTATGTTTTCTGTCCAACAGATTGTAAGATCCGCATGAGCTATAGAATATCATATACTTCTTTTACAAACAAATGGAAAGCAGCACAGTACTAGGCACATAGGAAGCAATGCACCCTATTGCAGTGCTGACCTTGGCCCACAACCCACGAGAGCTGAATATGAATTGTGATTGCTCTTATAACTCCTGCAGGCCCTCAGCCAAGAGGCAAAGCATCCGGTTTGCCCGGCCTTCTCAGGAAAGCACCTTCAGTTGTTTTGTCTTTCCCTAACCTACATCTTTTCCAGTGTCCCCCCAGACACTGAGAGCTGTCCCCCGTATGGCCCCCCTCTCCCTACCTGGAATTTGGGAGACCATACAACTGCACAGCCTACTTGGTTGAATGATGATTTTTTTTTAACAAGCCCTTTGAGCTAGTGTCAATAGCCCATGAAATATCACCAAATGGATCATGTGCGTTAGACTTCTGAAACTCATCTGAGCTCTGGTCCCTCCCGCTGGTGGGAACTTGCAGAAAGGAGCTCACGTGGCGTGGACTTTGCTATTCCTGTTCTGGGGGCTGTCAGACGCCGTGAGCCTCTGGGCCAGTCAGTTCATTACTTTTAACGAGCACAGAATTCACCAAGACATTAAAATAAAATAAAGCACCAATAGGCAGCCTTGGATGTTCCATCCAATTGTTGCTTTAGTTCTTTTTTCCACAGGGTTATTCAAGAGGGTGAAAAACAGAAAAAAGCCAATTCTACTCACTCCTGCCAATTTTAACCTAAGTAGATTTGGCATTGTAAAGCTAACACACCCTGAACTCTTTTTTTTTTTCTTTCAGGTCCCTATAGGCTGGTGCCTGACATTTGTGTTAAAAATGACACATTACTCGACTGGTTAAATGTTTGAACATTATCTACCTTTTGGATATAATAAACATTGAATATCCCAATACCATGAAACACATGAAGAATAATAATCAGAGGAAGATAGTTATTTTCTGGAAAGGGTGTGATGAAGTGATTATTTTAAATTACAAGGCAAATGTAGTGATTTTGATAAGAATTTTTAAAATTGACCCATCTCTGTGGCTAGTATTAAAGACTCAATAACTGTATTAGAGGTTCCTTACATTATCATAGATTGTAGAGGTGAAGCAGACACTGAACAATGTCCCCATTAATCTGATTTCATGGATATTTTTGTCTCCTGGCCATATGGATTTGGAATTACTTTGGGCATTTTTTTTTTTTTAAAGAAGGAAGTGGGCAGATGAATGACAACTCTTTTATTACTCAACATAGCTTGTGTTTCAGGAGACAAAGCTCATCACGTTGTTTTAAAGAAAAACAAGAGTGTGCCAAGTGTAATTTGTGGAGGGCCCAAGAATTGTGAAATTAGCCCTAACCGGCGTTCATAATTTCTACAGGTAATTGCTCTAGCAGATGCAGTAGAGGAGAACCAAGACAGTCTGTTCCAGTCGTTCACCAGGCTGAAAAGTGCCACCCATTTGATGATCCTGCTGATTGGACTGTGGCAGAGGCTGAGTGTGGACCAGGTTGCCATTTTGGAGGCAGCATTTCTGCCGCTACAGCAGGACACTCAAGAATTGGTAAGAACCCACAAGTCTGCAGTTGTAACAGCCATTGTTATTGAAAAGATTGTGGTTTTAGGACGGTATCACATGGCTATCATGTTTTTTAAGGTATCAATGAAGGCTTTTTTTTTTTAAAATCTTAAATCCTATTTTCCTTTTCTTTAAACCATAATAAAAATGTCAAATAGAGGCCTTTTTTTTTTTTTCCTAGAGCTATTTTAAAAACAGGTATATCGTCCATTTTTATGTGGTATCCAGTCTATTTTTTATGTGCTCTTCAGTCACTTAGAAGCCAGGGAAACAGACTTTTGACGGTCTGAGTGATGGCAGTAAACCTTCAGATTAGCTAATCCGTTCCTTTTCCGCCAGAGAACACAGTTCAGCCATTTTAATTTGCTCCATGTTCTTAAATTTAACTGTCACTTCAAGGGTGAGCGAGAACTGAGATAGCTGTGCTAAATGGCAGGCATAGTTCATTACATTTATACAGTTCTTTATATGTAGTTTATAAACTCTTTTACCCTTAACCCTTTGAGTAGGCATTTTAGAATGTAAAGGGGGAATATGAGGGTTTGTATTTGGAGTTTTTTGGTGGAGGATTATTTAAATAAAAACATCTCCTATCCCTTGAATTGTAGAGGTATCTATGACCACCAGCTGCCATTTGGGAGAACTTTCTGCTTGCTTTTATTACAAAGAAATACTATACTTCTTGGAAATTAGAGATCCTTGAACTTAATTTTTGTGTCGGAGGGAACTATTTCAAGAAAAAAGTCATTTCAGATCTAGTTTTAAACATAGATATGAGAACATGGTACTAAAAATAATGGTACCGAAACTAATATTTTTGAGTGCTTACTAACTACCAGGTGTTACTTTAAGTGTTTCACAAGGATTATTTTATTTAAATTTATGCATGGCCCTATAAGGCAGGTAAGGTGCTCTTTTCATCCCCATTGTACAGATGGGAAGATTTAGGCTTTGAGAGGTAAGTCCCTTTCTGAAACTAGTGGGGTCGAGCCAGGATTTGGACCCAGGTTTATCTGCTTCAGAAGTACGTGTTTTTAATCAGTGCACTGTATTTTAGCAAACAAAATCATGAATGTGATTTTGAAAATTACAAACTTTGTTATTTGAATCTTATTTTCTATAGTTGGGTCAAAGGATTGTCAGATTAAAAAAAATTGCGCTATATTTTATATCCAAAACAAAATATTAATAAATAAATTAGTAAAAAAAATTAGTGTACACTTTTCTTTAGATTGAGAAAATAAGATTACAGGTAAAATTGACCTGTGAGCAGGCAGAAATATAGACAGTGTAATAAGAGAAAAGAAAGACTACAATGGTTAGGATTCTATTAATAAGAATAACTATCACTTACCAGCTCAGAGTTCATAGCCCAAAAGACCTGGGTAGCCTCAGTTCTTGGTTCTACCACTCAATGGATGACAAAGTCCACCTGGTCAAGTTTCTTAACTGATCTAGCTCTCGGCTGTAGCTGTAAGGTGGAAACAACAATAGGACCTCCTCAATAAATTGTAATAAGATTTAATGAGATAATTGAATAGAGTGTTAGCCATTATTAATAGTGGTTTGTACAGTTTACACATATTATTTATAATTTCACTAACGTCATGTAAGAGAGATATGACTACCATTTCATGGTTGTCTCCTTGACTCTACCGAGGGCAGGAATGATATCTTACTCACTTGTGTATTTTCAGAGCCTGGCACCACGCCTGATTGTAGTGCAGTCAGTGTGTGCTGGGTGAGTGAATGGAGACAAGGGTGCGAGTTAGCAAGGGAGACTGGGCAGCAGAGGCACAGCGGACGTAATCTGCAGCGTGAGGAAGCCGGCAGGGCGGCTGTATGATCCCAGGGCCCAGTGCAAAATGGAAATGCACATCCCTTGTTCAAAAAGGTACAAAGAAGTGCTTAAGTGCCGTGAAAATGGGTACAAAAGCAAAGCTTTTTACTTTCCATAGTTTTTCTCTCATTGTGGTGTTTTTATTTGCCATTTTATGTTGTTCTAAATAAAGAAAGATTTAAAATTTAAATTGTTCGCGTGAATTTCACCATTAGTCCTTATAATGTGCAATGCCAGTTTTAATACAAATACAAGAGCATTAAACTCATATGCGGAACCATCCCAATTATACAATTTGTATTTCGTGGCTCATGCGTGCATATGTGTTTTTGTTCTTACAGAACTGTGGAATCTGCAAAAAACTTAACTGTCTTTATTTCACTTCTTGCTACGTGCACATCTATCAACACTTTCTGCCCTCTGCCCACAGATGAGTAAGGAAAGACTGAAAGCGGAGGAGCTGTGTGTCCCTCTACGTTCCTTTCCTTCTGTGTCTTCATTTTCTGGGTAGCCGTGAAGCAACAGGAGTGTAATGGGCTTCCTTAGACATTTCCGTTTCTTTGAATCTCTGGCCTTCTTTATTCATTCAAGACGAGTTCTGGTTCCGATGAAAAGCCTTTCAGGGCCGTCAGGGCCAGATGTAACACACCTTCCTGTAACTTGCCCTGAGTCTCCCACTCATCGGGGCACCATGGGAGCTCAGCTTCCGGGGCTGTGTGGGAATTGGGGGGAGAGGAGCGTGGTGCATTTCGTGCCTCTTCCCTTCTCACATGCACTTCATTGTCCCATCAGACTCACAAAACACAAGTTCAAAGATAACATTATTCAGAATTTCAGGGTGGCCACAGCAAAGCATTAAACCAAGTGTGGGGCCCTTCTGAGTGGGGGACCCTCTGTGTGTACACAGCTCATGTGCCCCTGAAGCTGGCCCTGAGCATGGGTGGACCCAAAGGAAGAATTTCCTAGAAATAAATGTTCTCAAATGTGGGAATTGCATCCCAAGAGAGACTGTGGGATTTTCAACTCTAGAGATCTTTATAAACAGCCTCGTTCTGTTGGGAGAACACAAGTATGTTCACCCCTCTAGGCAGGTGACTGGACTTAGCATCTTCTTAAAGCCCCTTTCTACCCTGCCTCTGTTCTCTGCTGTCGTACCTCCCGAAACATGGAGGGGAAAATTCTTTCAACTCTCTTCTGAATTTGGTGAGATTAGAAGGTGTGTATACTCATTATGTCTATTGAAGTCATTAATGAGACAGGACATTTGATAAAAACATAACTTGGAGAAGAATGAATCAAAAAAGACATTTTAATACTGCTTGTTATGCTCTTCATCTTTAATTAGGTTGTGGTATTCGCTTTGGACTTAGACTGTTGAGACAGCTTATATATCTTGAGAAAAAAAGGAATCCTTTTTCATTCTTTAAGACGTACGCATGCGGTATGTGGTTTTGACATGCTAGTTCACAATCCCCCACATTATGCCTTTAGACCTCACAAATAAATGTTATGTGATGGGTATCCCACTGAGATGTGAAAATGAAATATGCAAGCCTGAAATAACTTGGGAGGAGGGTGAGGCGGGAAGAAAGGAGTCTCTGACCAGAATGTTGAAAATATATCCCATATTGAAGTTATTATGATACCACAAAAATCTGAATGTAATTTAGGTGGTTCGGCTGAGGGTGGATGGCAGCATACATGTGTGAGGGGGGGAACCTGAGACATGTGGACGACATTTTCAGCAGAGACTCTCAGTTCAAGGTCAGATGTCCCCAGAAGTATTGAGAGGTAGAAAAAAACGTGCTCCAAAGATACTTTATTTACGTTTTAAACAGCACTGCATAATGGCTTGTTGTGTTGTTATTATAATGGCATGTGTCATAAGGCAGGCTAAATGCCATGGTCAGTTCTGGAATATTTTCTTCTTAATGACGTTAGGTTCACAAAGCAAAAATATTTAGAATTTATCACTGCTAATGGAAAGTAGTGTTCTTTGCACTATATTATCAGAATTTTTAAAAATACCTTCCCATTTGGAACAGAATACATCATTGTTTTCTTTGATCTGTCTCTTAAATAATGCTTTTCCATTTTTGCCATTTCTCAATACTGTTTTGGGGGCAAATAAATGCTGGCATCGCAGACTATTCGGTGTGATTTTTTTTTTAAGTTACATATGCCAAATGTGTTGGAGGGTTACTCCTTTTCCCTTTAAGAGAAACATTAATGTTCTATTTGGTGTCTCCAAAAAGAGCTCTTAATTTCAGTTCCACCAGCGGATTTGATAATATGGTATTGTCCCTACTGCCTTCTTGTGATGATGGAAAAATTTTGCCTAAACTAATGTTCTATCAGAGAACCTGATAAGGCAATTCTGAAATGAGTTGTTTTCTTACTTTTCAGATTAGAGACAGGATAGTTCAGAGATTTTGAATTCTCAGGGCAGAATTTCTACTGACTCTGCATCTATAGAAGTTCTATGGAAAATACTATCTCTTCTGAGATCAGTAGCATTGTGTTACTGGTTTCAGTCTGAGAGTATTTAATTGTGACATGACCTCCCCCTCCACCCCACCCCATGATGCTGGTGAGAAACCAAAAGCTTTTGTAAAATTATACACACCTCAGGATTTGCCTGACAAGACAAATCTTTTATCCAGTCATTTATTCATTCAGTGAATATTTATTGAGTACCTACTATGTTTCAGGCAGTGTTCTAGACACTCAGTACACAAAACAGACTTAGATCCCATTCTTTGTGAGTTTATTTAAACTTTACAAGCAAACATATTCTAGTCATATTCAGCCGTGAACATACTGGCTGTCTAATATGATAGCCACTTGTCACATGTGTCTATTTAAGTTCAAGTTTAAGTAAAGTGAAATAAAATTAAATTTTCAGTTCCCCAGTCTCACTAGTCATATCTGAGTTGTTCAACACCCACATGTGGCGAGTGGCTGTCACATTAGACAGTGAATACCTAGGCCATTTCTGTCACTGCAGAAAATCCTATTGCACAGTGCTATCAGTCACAAAGAGAGAAAGGCTTTTGTCAGCTGGGTTAACAATTTTAGCACATTCTAACAAATTAATGAAAGTAGGGTGGGACACTGGCATTAAGTTATGCCATGGTGTTTGCAT